TCGCCGCGTGCCTGAGGACAATGCTTCGCGACTGTTTGCTACTCTTATCGGGACAGCTGGTGGCTGTGAAGACTGGAATCATAGCTTCATAGCTAGCACCAGTTTAATACATCCTAGCGCCATTATATCTGCCATACATTACATTCCTATTTGCGCCACGCCACGGACCACCGCGCGTCTCCCTGGCGTTCACACACACTGGCTCTCCCGTTGAGCTACCTCATGTCCTAACACCTTGTCTCCTGCCTCATCGTCCCCCCTCATCCTCTGTCTTCTCTGCTTCCACTGCCTGCTCCTCCGGCCTCACCTCGCTCTTTCATCGTCTTGCGCTCATTCTCACCTTCATCAAGTTGGTCCTGGCTCCAGAACCTTCTTAAACGGCCCCTGCTCCTCGCTTCTCCTCCTGCCCTCATTCTCCTCTTCCTCTCTACCCTTACGCAGACATCCTCCTCTGACCCATCTTCCCTCCACCACTTCCCCTCGTTCGTCCCCCACCTCCGCATCTTCCCCACTTCATCCTCCTCCCGCTCCTCCGTCATCCTCCCTACCTCCTCCTGCCTCCTCCTCCTCCTCCACAATCCACTAAGCGACAGTCATCTACAGTTACGCCAGCAGCATCGTGTATTGCACACGCGTGAGTCGTGGCGATAGATCCTAACAGTCCAATTATTTAAAGCGAAATGAAGTAAAGTAATATCGTGCATAACACCGTAAGTGAGATACAAATCATCGAGAATGAGTGGCCTTCGAATCAATAATATCGCTACGCGCAGCAAACAGCCCATTATACCGTGTCCACCGCCTAACTAACGCAGCAACCCCCACCACACCAACACAACCAGCCCCATTCCACTCAATGCCATCGCCTACCACACCCCACCACACCACCACCGCGCCCCAGTCCATCACCATCGCAGTTACTACCAAGCCCATCCCCCAAATCCACCGCCTACCCCAACCCACCCAACCCTACCCCCACCATCACGTCCCCCTCCCCTACCTTCACCCTGGCCCCACACGCGACATTCTCGTCCAGTTTACAACTCCACGTGCATCTGCTATATCCTCTATAATAAACTAGAGAATCAGTGGCGTACTACCGCTGTGTAGTGTGTAGTGAGCTCCCGGTTCACAGACGTGGGCGTTTTACAGTAGAAACGACACACGCGTCGATTGGAGAAGGAAGTTCATTGGGGAACGTGCAGGAAGGAAGATATACGGGAAAAGTACCTGATCATCCTGACGCAGCTGTTTGGCCGTTAGCGTGCTTCGCTTCCTTGTAGTGACTATGACTTCAACAAACCTCACACATGCCACTCCGTGCATGATCAAACTCACCGCACGCCATGCGCCACGCACGCACGCACGCTACGCGGCATAACAAACCGCACACGCGGGTAGGCACCCACAAACACACGTATGCACGTACGCACACATGCCCACACACACAGACATCGCACAGGCACGCAAGCACGGACGCAACGCCGACACACGCCCACGCAAATCCACGCCTACACAAACACATAACAGTAAGAGAATAGTAACAGATTTACATATCAAGAGTAAGCATCGGTACTCAAAACTATTACATCAATCTGCTTGATATGAAGCCATTCTCCAGTCCCTCCTCCCCTAGGTCCCAGCAGCTAATCGCTGTTATCCGAATTGTACATCCCCTCACCTCTCATCTAATTGTCTCCTATATTGTGATTCAACTCGTCCTGCCTGATCATGAGTGCTGGTTTTAAGATATACATGCTAGCATGATCGCTTCTATGCTGTGCATGTCGCTATAGTGTCCACGCCCACCGCCAACGCGACTCTCTTTACCCCGCACTTAGCGGTACACAATTCCTCTTCTCCTTCTACCTCGCCTCCACATCCCTCCTATTCCGCCTGGCGATTCCCCCCCCTCCACGTCTCACCATGCCCATTACCGCCCCCTCTCTGCCATCCTCGTCACTCTACTCACTCTACTCCACCTTCACCCATTCACACCCTTCGCTTTCTCTCATCACGTACATACCCCTCCACCTGCCCGCTCTTTGTCCCCTACCTAACTACCTCATCCAAACCCTACCCCTCTACCACTCCGCCTACTCCTTCTCGCTCTCCTCCTCCTCCTCCTCCACGCCTCCATCCTCCTCCTCCCCTCCTCTTACCGCACCCACCAAAACCAACACCCACCCACCCTCTCCCACCCTCATCCATACTCCACTCCCGACCCAGACCATGCAACCATCTCTCCTCCCTTCCTCCTCCTCCCTACCATTCTCCCCTCCTCTCATCCTCCACCACCACCACCACACCTCCACTTCCTACCTATTTCCTCTTCCTCCCCGGACTCCTCGTGCACTGTCCGACGAGTCATCAAAAACGCCGCATTCGATCGCAGGCAGCCGCCTTCAGGCAGCCGCCGGGGACAGTAAAAAGCGTGCCGCGCTGTTGGCAAGCGCACAGCATGAAAGATATGTGTTATATATATAAAGAGCTCTGTGGTGGATTGTTGAGCGCCCTTAATCACGAGGAGGCTGAGAAGAGTTCGATACAGCACGCCAGCAGCGCGAACGCACGCGTCTCGCTCGTCGCTCCTCTGCTCTCACTCCTCTCTCCGGTTCTATCGTTCTCCTCGCATCTCTCTCTCCCTCTCTCTCTCCTCACTCTCGTCCTGCTCTCTTTCTCGTTCTAATGCGTTCCTATCGTTTCTCATCGCTCTCTTCTCGTTTTTCTATCGGTTCTCTCTCTCTCTGCTCTCTCTCCTCTTCTTTATTTCTGTTTCTCGCGTTCTCTTCCTGTGTCCCCTATTTCCTTGGCTCCCTCCCGTTTCATCTCATACTCTTGCCCCCTCTTCTATACCTATAGATCTACCTATCTATGCTAATCTTAATATCTATCTCTTCTTCTCATCGTTCTCTAAATCGTTTTTCAGCTCTCATCTTCATTCTCTCTCGCGCGCGCATGCGTCTCTCTCTCTCTATTCTTCCTCTCTCTCTCTCGCTCGCTGCAACTCTCCACCGTCTCAATATAATGTAGGATGATAGGAATGACAAACAGGAACAATGCACAACAATGTCATCATTACCCGTGAGCTGGGAACCCTGTAGGAACAACACAAAGTAGGATGATAGGAACAACAAACAGGAACAATGCAAAACAATGTCGTCATCACCCATGAGCTGGGAACCCTGCAGGAACAACACAATGTAGGATGATAGGAACAACAAACAGGAACAATATGATGTAGGATGATAGGAATGACAAACAGGAACAATGCACAACAATGTCATCATTACCCGTGAGGTGGGAACCCTGTAGGAACAACACAAAGTAGGATGATAGGAACAACAAACAGGAACAATGCAAAACAATGTCATCATCACCCATGAGCTGGGAACCCTGCAGGAACAACACAATGTAGGATGATAGGAACAGCAAACAGGAACAACATAGTGTAGGATGGATGATAGGAACAACACAATGTAGAATAGATGATAGAAACAACACACAGGAACAATGCATAACAACGTCATCGCCTCCTGTAGCTGCAAAGCCTGCAAGAACAACACAATGTAGGATGATAGGAACGACAAACAAGAACAATGCACAACAATTTCATCACCCACGAGCTGGGAACCCTGCAGGAACAACACATGTAGGATGGATGGTAGGAACAATACACAGCAAGAATGCACAAGCATACATCTGCCGGAGCAACACGTGTTCAATAAATCACGAGAACAACACATGCATTATGAATCACGGGAATAACACACAGATGATAAATGATACGAACAACACAATGGAACACCACGCAGGAACAACACTCAGGAACAGAGCACAATTACGTCCTCAAGTCCATGAGCTATGAACCTTGCAGTAACATCAAACCTGGGAGGAAGCTCATGACGAACAAACAGGAATGCCTCTGAAGGAATAATGCGACATACAGGACTCAGGAGCAAGCTAACAATGTTGTCATGTCCTATAGGGAAAGACAACATAGGATGAAGCATAGCAACAACATACAGCAGCTGTGCACAGGAACAGCAGCCATCCCTGCTTCACTGCTTTAATGTCAGGCAATGAGTGTTCATCAGAGTCGCGCATCGACCAAGATCGAAAAACAGCATGCGATGAATCATTGAAGCAGTCATCAATGTTTCATCTTGCACTCTTATAACCTTTTTCTCTTTTGGAATCTGCGACCGGGCTAAGGAGCCCTCAATCAATGAGGCAATCATTCACTTCATGCGGAGACGTAATCGTCCTAGCTTTCACTGGTGTTACTGAATGCTGCAAATTGGGAGCGAGGCAAGAGAGCAAGATGGGGCAGAGAAAAGAGGAGAAAGAGAGAGAGAGGGAGAGACAGATGGAGATGGAGTGGGAGAGAGAGAAGTAGAGGGAGACGAGGATGAAGAGGGCCAGCGAGACAAATAGGGGCAACAGGGGGAATAGAGATGGCCAGAGAGAGGAAGAAAGAGCAATAGAGAGAGAGAGAGAAAGAGAGAGAAAGAGAGAAAGAGAGAGAGAGAGAGAGAGAAAGAGAAAGAGAGAGAGAGAGAGAGAGACAATGAGGCAATCATTCACTTCATGCAGAGACG